GAAATCCGCTACTGTGAAACGCGGTTGAGTGCTTCAGTTGCACAACAGCTCTGCGTCCCTGCTTCACGTCTGATCCGGGACAAGACCCAACCTGCCTCTGCCATGCCAACAATCTACATTGGGTAAATGTTTCTTTTTTTTTTCTCTTTTTTTTGTGTGTGTGTGTGCATATTAGGTCTTTCAATCTTAAATATTTGTGAAGTTATCCCATCAAACTATTGAAATTGCTATTTCGTTTCCCAAATCATATTAATTAATTTCTCGGTTCTCAATAGTGTTACTTTTGATTGGAGGGGTTAATTCAGAATCACTGAGATGTCCCAGGAGGAATTTTCGATTACTTGCGGTACTAATTTTAAAAAGGTTTATTATAGACAAGGTATATAGAGGAGGTGCATTAGATTAAATATGTACTCGATCAGAAGATATCAATCATTGGATCCGTGCACGAATTCTCAAATAACATCTAGCTTAGCTATCATTCAGTTCACTTAAATTGTTCGCTAATCTTTTGTCATCATCAATACATTGCGAATTCGGAGAACACTTAAATAAACCATTATACATAATTAATCTAATTATAATAGCTTCGTTTTATCTTACGTAATCACATAAGTTCCCAGTTCTGAAACAGACCTCAAAAAAAATCCTCACATTTTGATATTATCTCAAATCTCTTTTTAAGTTTTTAAACCTAAACGTGCCCACTTAGATCTTGTATTTCTCTACTTCCATCCATTTTCTCACCACGTACATGATGCATCGCTCTAGTTCATTTAAAATAGAGAAGATTTGTAGATATTGTTAAAGTCGTCAAAATTAGGTCGTAATAGATTCTTCAAATACGAGGGTACTTGCATTTGGTCCTTCAAGTTAATTACTACAGCACTCTCATTAACATATGTTCATTAGCATTTCAGATACCATTACATATAACCAAACCACACACACATAATACATCAGAAGCTAAACTAAATTAATTAAACACTACCACAGGAACTAATATCGATCATAACTAGTAACTAGGGCATGCAGATGCAATATCCATCGTCACGTCATCAGATTCCCCAGAGGCAGTCCAGCTCAGTCCCTCCTCCGTTCTTCCGGTCATGCGCGGCCACACCCAGCCATCCCACCCGCCGGCCCTCAGCTGCCTCGCCGCCGCCCACTGGGCACGGGGTCAACGCATGATGCCTGCCTGGGTGCGGCTGAGGCGCTGCTGCAGCAAGGCGGGCGAGAAAAAGAAGCAGCTGCAGGTTTCCTGGAGGCGGACTTCAGTTCGGAAACATAGGCCTCCTGCGCGCGCCGCCTCATTCTTGCAGAATGAGAGAGGGCATCTGGACAGGGACCCGAGGAGGAGCCAGCGTGACCGGCTGGCAGCGGAGAAGCACGCAGGGTACGCGCCGGCGCTGCTGGCAGTCGGAGTTGCTTGTTCGAAGCGCACAATGGAGGAGTCGGAGGAGGTGGCGGGAGGCTGGCGGACGACGACGGATCGGGTCGTGCGCGAGCGACGAGGCCTTCTTCGACCCGATCGTCTTTTGGAACACACGGGCCACCACCCACTCGTCCTACATGCATGCACACGTGCACCAACATGAATATATATAGCCGAATTATTTTCAACAAATCTCCGTCTTGTTACAGAGAACAGCTAAACAAAATGGCTAATTAAGGTTCCTTTCCTTAAAAAAATAATTTAAACCTATTTCAGTACCATAATAAAACCCATTTTCATCTCGTTCCGGAATTTTCTTAGAAAATACAATTTATTGCTCGTTTCACCGAAAGAGCCGAAAGGTTTCAAAGTGATACCCTAATTGGACGGAATGGGAATCTTCGTTTCAATAAACAAAGTTGCGATCAGTTTCTGACCAATCTAATCAGTCAAATCTCACCAAATTTTACCAATTTTAAATTGCAAAAACGGAGCTTTCGAACCCATTTGCAACTCAATTATTGAAATGAGACTCTACATCTCAATATTTGTAAGTTTTTTTTTCCTAAAATGATATATAATGGTGTTTTCTAAGAGTATGATAGGAAAATAAACTTTTTCCAAATAATTGTTTCCCTAAAAAATCAAAGCCAAAGTACTTCCATGAACAATTTAATTAACAACCTTTTTTGAGTACCCAATTTAAGCAATTCGTATATAGAATACTGAAATTAGTTGTGAGCGAGACAAATTTACGTGAGGACGATACGAAAGGGAACAAGCCAGAGCTCACATAGAGACAGAAAACGATTTGATTAATTAAAGCAAAGTACAAATTAACAAAAGCTAGTGGAAAGATACAAATTTCAAAAAAAAAGGTAAAAAGAAAAAAAGAAAGCTCCTAAATATATAAAGTAAGTAATTATTAAACTAGGGCAGAGAAATGAAAGCAGATTTTAATGTAGAGTCTTAATCTAGAGAGGAATATACTATAAATTAATGTCTCATTCTCGAGAAAATCTATGACAAGAGATCTCCATTGTACAAATATACTTGAATAGCAGGTACTATTGGTTACTTCAAATCATGAATTAGGTAAAGCATGAATTAGGTTCTGAAGCTGCAGTTTGTGTACAACACTTGCACAGATTAAAAACATCCACTTGAGTAGGCCTCAAGTGTAATCAAGACGAAATATCGGAAGACCCAAAATAAAATAAAAAAAGATAGCCAAAGTAACTTCCAAATATCTCAAAATCCCCTTAATTTAAAGATTACAAGCAAACCTTTCATTTAGGGCTTGTTTGGATTAGCACCTAGCGAGAGGAATTTAAGGACATGGATTAAATTAAGGGAATGCAATGAAATATATAAAACTTACTTGAAAAATTAATAAAGAGAGTTTAAATGAACTTGTTTCACCCTGTATAGAAAGTTAAATAAAATAAAGAAAAAGTAAAAAAATATATATGCAAATTTACATAAATAGGTGACATGTTATTTCATCCCTTGAATCTCATCTTAATATATGAGGAGTAAAAGTATGTGTAATTTATTTTTAAAAGTCGCATTCCCCAAACTTCCCTCGCTTACACCTCAATTTAGACGGAAATTAAACAAAATCTTTAAAAAAAAAATTCCTTCTATTCCCTTTAACTTCTCTCTCATTAACTAACTCAAATAATTTTCCGAACAAGGGTAACGTATCCCCTACATTCCCTGTACTCACATTACACTCGATCCAAACAAGCCCTCAAGATTTTTAACAGAAAAATGAGACGTTTTGTGTCATTTTCTTCATCCATGTGAAAAATGAGACTGATTTGTTGAGGGCGTTCTTGATAAAATATTAAAAGACACGCCGTGATAACACCTAGACTTAATTGGGTTGTTAATTTCTGATATTATTTTCAAAGCTACGGAGGTTTCTCTCACGAGCATTCAAAGTTATGGGGTCTTTTCTGGTATTTAAGCCTCTGACATATATAAAAGGTGAGCCAAAAGAATAATATTCTGAAAAGAAAGTAATGATGAAGTCGTTCGTTGATAAAGACAAGCTTGAAGCTCTGGAAGATGTTAATGATGACACTCCAAAGTAAATGACCATAATAAATAAATAAATAAAAAGGAAAAAAAATATCAACTCCGTGCCCTTTAGAGAAATCATTTTTACCTTGGAGGATCTAGAGAGGAAATGGTAAGCAAACTTGCCCTCGAGCCTGTACTCGTGCATGACCCAGTTGGTCTTCTCTCCTTTGGGAGCCCTCCCCCTGTAGAAAACCAGGGTCTTCTTCATCCCCACGAGGGACCCGGTCCTGGAGCTGTAAATCTCTCGGTCTTTGCCGGTCGCCTTCCAGTATCCGGCGTCTGTTGCTCTGTTGGTCCTCAGCCCTGTAGGGTACTTTCTGTCCCTCAAGCTGAAGAAGTACCACTCCTTTTCCCCCATCTTCGCTTTCTCTGCGAGTTGAGCAACGTAAGCGACTGACCAAAAAGCTAGGGGGGGGATTTTAAAAAAAGGTGCAAAACAATATAAAAAATAAAAAATGGTACCCGGGAGCTGCCAGGGCTCGCACTTGTTGAGGTCGATCTCCGCGATGGCTCGGCCGGTGAAAGAGCCGTCGAGGACTTTCTTGAGGAGGTAGTAAGTGATGAGCTCCTCGTCAGTGGGGTGGAACCTGAAGCCTGGAGGCAGCTGCTCTTCGTTCTTCTCAGGCTGCTGTCCGTAGCCGATCTCCATCATCTTCACTCTGAGATATATATCAAAAGCAGCAAACGCAAACTCTCAATATAGGGCAGATCATTCACGGTTATACGACTACGGAGAGTGAGAGAGCGGGCGGTGGATTTTGAAGAAGGAGACAGTATTTAAAGCACCAGCCAGCAATATTCCATTTATAAAAGGAACAAAAAAAACATGGCAAAAACAAGAGTATAGTAAGAACGTCACCAGTGAGTACCGGAGGCAAGCAGCAAACAAAAGAGCCCCTCTCACAGAGCACAGAGCAAAAGAGGAGGAACAAAGTGAGGGCAATATGTAATATGTATATTAATGGAACGTGTAAGAGAGAGAGAGAGCCTCTGCTTATATTTCATACAGAAGGAGGAGGGGGCTTCGTGGTTTAATGAGGATTCGACGAATCAAAGAAAAAGGGGCCCACCCCCCTCTCTCTCTCTCTCGCATGGGTTGTTTCTCTCTCCTCTGCTCTGAGCTGGGCTCGGGGATCAGAGAGATGGGGTAAGATATGCGTGCGTGCGTGAGATATTGTGCAGGTATTTCCTCTGTCAGAATTAGGAGAGGGAGGGGGAGAAAGAAGAGAGAGAGAGAGAAACAGAAGGTAAGTAGAGTTTGATGAACAGGGAGGAGAGAGAGAGGGAGAGAGGAGATTTGAGGTGATTTCCCATCAGATAAAGCTGCATCATATCTCAATCGGTCAGAGAAAAACAGTACAAGATTAAATAAATCATGCGACAGATTCCATCACATCAACATGCTCAAGAGGACTTTCTATCTCCCCACCTCTCTTTTTCTGGGGGCCCCCCCTCGCTTTAATTTGTGCCCCTGTGCTTGTCTTTTAGCTGCAGGTAAAAAAAAAGGACGGGGGGATGCATGCATGTACTGATCTCAACATCTGTGGGGTTCTCCTCTTCACTACTGTGGAGCGCACACAAACACTGTGGTGGATGACTCCTGATGTTTCGCGTTGAGATTTGCTAAAACCGCACTATGTGTTCTCCGTCTGGATTAAGT